ACAGGCGCCAAGCCAGAGCCTGTCTTTCTAAACAGAATTTCTGTTTCCTTTAAATGTACAGCCCTGCTGAGCCCCTGTCCAGCTACTGCTCTCGCCATCAGAAATGCATCCAAGAAGACAGGTGGCAGCTCCAAAAACCTCGGGGGAAAGTCATCAGGGAAACGCTTTGGCATCAAGAAAATGGAAGGTGAGCATGTGCCTTGGCTTCCATTTCCCAGCAGCACCTTACCCTTGTGTACCTTAGGAGAGTGGGGAAAACCCCACAAGTGCCTGGCCCTGCTCTCCACCAGAGCCTTTGGCTCTAGTTTAAGGGGGCAGATAAGACTGAAGAGGGGGAGGGGCTAGGGGGAGGGGCTAGGTGTGAACCTTAGCCTTAAACTAGAGGCAGCTGTGCTGGGTGGGGGACCAGGCACTGCTTGTGTTGGGCTGTCTAGGAGTTGTTTTTGGTCAGGGGTAGGCTTAGAAGTTGGTATACAACATTTGGGCCATCATGTTTTCTTCTCTGGGGCCTGGTCACTGGGGCCTGGAGTCAGTGCACTTTTGGACTTCTCTTCTAGGTCACTATGTTCATGCCGGCAACATCCTTGGGACTCAGCGCCATTTCCGCTGGCACCCAGGTGCTCATGTGAGTTGCTCTGTGGCTCCCCTTTTGTCTTTTCTAGGATCACCTCTTCATGCCCCAAGCACAGTAATAATAATTGCGTTTGTTGTGTACTTAGCAGATGGCAAGCAGTGTGCTGATTCCTATTCCTATATTATCTCATTTCATCTTTACCACAGCCCTATGGGGTACATATCATCTCCATTTCACAGGCAAACTGCTAGAGACTTACAGACCAAGTAACTAGTAGAGTTTGAGCCAGGCTGCTTAATTCCCAAATCACTTATGTTTTGCCTCAGTATAACATTAGGCTGGCATTCTTGGTTCTCTCTCTCTTTTTTTTTTTTAACTTATGTTTACTTTAATTATTTAATTTATTTATTTACTGTTTTTGAGACAGGGTTTCACTCTGTTGCCCTGGGTAGAATGTCATGGTGTCATCATATCTCAGAGCAACCTCAAAGTCTTGGGCTCGAGTGATCCTCTTGCCTCAGCGTCCTCCGTAGCTGCCTACCACAGCACCTAGCTAGTTTTTCTATTTTTAGTGAAGACACGGTCTCACTCTTGCTCAGGCTGGGGTTGAACTCCTGAACTTAGGTAATTCACCTGCCTCGGCCTTCTAGAGTGCAAGGATTATAGGTGTGAGTCATTGTGTCTGGCCTCTGGGTTCTCCTTTCTAACCCTTGGTTCTTGGAGCATGAGATATCTCATGATTTTTTTTTTGGAGACAGAGTTTCACTTTATCACCCTTGGTAGAGTGTCGTGGCATTTTATAGCTCACAGTAACCTCCAACTCTCAGGCTCAAGCGATTTTCTTGCCTCAGCCTCCCAAGTAGCTGGGACTATGGGCACCACCATAGCAAAATGGTCTCAAACCTGTGAGCTTAGGCAGTCCACCCACCTTGGCTTCCAAGAGTGCTAGGGCATGAGCCACTGTGCCCAGTCTGGTATGTTTTGATTTAAGATATTTTTTGAGTCTTAGGAAACTAATTTCAATTTATTCATTTTTCAGGATTTTAAGAATTCTTCCTTTGCATAAACTTATTAGTAGATGGTCAGAAGATAGCTTGAATTTAATAAAATGTAATTCAGTGTATGCTAGAAATTAGGTCCATATCAAGTGGGAATTTCAG